AAAGTCTGGAAGTCTTTCCACTGACTTGGTTTCAACGGGGACTGAGCTAAAAAGTGCAAAAGACGGAGAGAGATGCCAGAGCTACACCCACAAACTCACTCCATGTGTGCTGTTGTTTATAGAGGGTGGGGGTGAGTGAAGACAGAGAGGAGGGAACATTTGGTTTGGTCAGAGTTAGAATTCTCCAAGGGAATGTAAAACACAATAGCAAGTCAAAAAAACTTCTCTGGTGGTTGAAGCAGAATTCTTTTTCCTCCTCCCTCTCGTCCCTTTCCCTTCCCTCCTCCTTCACTACTCCCCGCCCGCTTCCTTGCTGCTGTCTTTCCTTCACTCCCGTCACATTTTTCACTCTGAGCTGGGAATGGCAAACACCATGGTCTCGCTGCGCAGCTCAGAGCTGGGGCCCCTGGCCTGGGATGCCGTCACTAAACGTCAACTCTTCCTACAGAGGGTCTCCTCCAAGCTGGGCCCCGGCTCCAGGCAGCAGGGCAGAGGCTCCAGAGCAGACAGGGCCTGTGTCGCTGCTCCTCCTCCAGGCTCTGGGGCTGGACCTCCAGGACAGGGAAGCCAAGGAGTCAGGCAATCCCAGAGTGACGGCTCTGTGTTGGGGGAAGTCGGACACAGTGCTGGGAGTGGATCTCCAACCAGAACCAGGCAGAACCCAAGTCTGAACCAGAGTGAGTTCACTTGTCTGTACAGACAGAGTCACGTTCTCATCACAGACCCAGTGTAAATATACAACAGCATGTGCACGTGTGTGTGTGTGTCTGCTTTGTCTTTGCAGCAGACTCAGGAAATGAATGGCCTGACACTGCAAAACTGCGAGTTAAAATGCCTTCCACATACCACACACACACACACACACACACACACACACACACACAAACTGTCTTTAACACGTCCTATGTCACACTGACTGCACTTACAGCTTAAGCAGGGCGCTAACAGACGTAGTACTTTTGCTTATGTGTGTGTGTGTGTGTGTGTGTGTGTGTGCTCCTGTGGAGTTTAAAAAACTCACGACACACATTTTTTTCTCTCCTTTATGTCTATTCGTGCAGATGAAGTGTTGTGTGTGTGGATTTTTGCTAAACTGACAGGAAGTGTCCAGTGCTTTTGGACAGATACTGCAGTTTTACCTGGAGTCACTAAGTGTTTGTACTGCATTTGTACACGAATTGTACTACAAGAGCCGGACTGGAGGTTTAAGTTTTTTAAGTTTCTGTTCTTACGTCAACACTGACAGCAGGAGGTCATTTCGACTGAATTTCGTCACATTTTCACCACCTCAGTGTTTGAGGCTGAAATGTCACCATGCTCAGTGTGAAGACTGTTTACACAGAGAGGAGAAATCAAGGGAGATACGCTGTTGTTTGGCTGTTGTTTCTCTGACAGTTTAACAACAAAGAGCAAGCTGTTTATGGAGCACGTGGGTCAAAGGTCACATTTTTAAGTCTTGTCTATAGTTTTGTTTGTGTCTGTTACTTTATCTTTTATCTTTTTCTTTAATCCAACACTCATCTTCTAACTCCTAGAGTTAGATGGCGTTCCTGACGCAAAGCAACCTGGGATTTGGAGACAAATGTTCAACCTGGACATACTCATGGCATGGCCACATTTCCTAAATCCTACAACAAATAGAACATTTGAGATGATGTGATGATGTCAAATTGTTCACAGAGAAGGGATTTAACCCAGTGACCAGCAGGACTGCTGCGTGCATGAATGAACAGTTTGGAGCAGAATCCCCGTCACCTGAGGAACTAGAAACGGGACCTTCTTGAAGTTCCTCCTCCCACCACTGGGTGAAGCGCAACAACAGGCAGACATTAAAGGCACACGTTGGTTTAAAAGATAGTGCTTTGAAGTTGATAAATTAAAAAAAATAGAATTCTAAAACTTCCACGAACGAGGCTGGAGCTAGTTCTGAGCAGCTGCAAAAACAACGTGCGAAAAACAGTCGTATGAGAGGAAACCTGAAGAGGTTTGATCTGATCCAGGGATTCAGAACCAGACCTGTAGATTCAGAACCCAAATCTGAGGATTAGAGTAGCAGATCTGATGACTTATAAACAGGATCTGTGGAGTACAGACTACAGAACCAGATATACCATGTCTGCGTTTAGACACTTGTAACGTTTCCTGTGGTTCTCAGAAAAAGACTGGGTGAGAAAAAAGGAATAAATTGTGTGTGTGTAGGACCAGATCCTGTTCCTGGTAAAAGTCACATTCTGATGAACAAAAGCACACTTGTTATAATTTGCTGAAGCATAGAAATAAACTGCTTGACCTCTGACCTCACACTGACCCCTAGATTGATCTCTCCATCAATGGCCTCCTCTGACTGTGTATTTGTGTCAGTGACATGTCTTCTACTCCAGCATCCTCAGTCGTTACCAGTGACCATAAGAACACACAAACTCAGGAGATCAGTCCTGGTCCAGACAGGGACCTAGAACTGTTCAGTACCAGAAGCTGCTGTTAGCTGCAGAACCAGGAGAGAGAACGTGCCTTTGTTGTTGGTTCCTTCTTCACCCAGAAGGTTGTTCCTGGAGGTTCCTGGATTTCAGAGCAGCTCTGAACTCCGTGTTTATTCTATTCACTGTACAGACGCCAGAGTCAAACATCTGATGTCACCACACCTCCAAACATGAGTGAACATTCAGCTCAGTTTTTCCAGTCTGTGGGTCTGTGCACAGAGTCATCAGAGGAACATGCTGAGACTTCACTCTGTTATTAATGTAACCCTTTTAGAGAAGTTGCTCAGAGAGAGGACTTGTCATGAAGAGTCCTTCTTTCTTTTATTTTTTCTTTCTTTCCTTCCTTCCTTCTTTCTTTGTTTCTTTCTTTTTCTTTCTTTCTCTCTCTCACTCACTCACTCACTTTTTTCTTTCTTTCTTTCTTTGTTTCTCTCTCTCTCTCTCTCCCTCTCCCTCTCCCTCTTTCTTTCCTCCTACATTTAAAGTCCAGACTGAATCCAGATGTTTCCCCTCAGCCTCAGCCACATTACAGTTTTACTGTATCTATACATACCCTCACCACCAGGGATTTCACGTCTGAACATAAACGACCGTTCTGTGTTCTGTGAACGTAGAACTTTCTGGAGAATGAATCTCTGCACCGCGTTTGGACCATGTCGGCAGCAGGGGGTGACACACTCAGCCTGTAGACTGTCTATAACAAGTAGACGGAGTGTTTGAATAAAGAGGACAGTCTCTGAATGTGATTGGCCAGTGCTGGTGACTGATGGTATACACAGGGGTTTTTGTTAAAATGATGACCTTCTCTCTCACTCACTCTCTTTCTCTCTCAGGTATTCTCAGAGCTCGCTCCACCACAGAGCACAGACCTGGCCTCGGACCCTCGTCCACCGCTTGTAAACCTCTCCCGGCCAATCAGCAGTCAGCAGTGGGGTCTTCTGGAAGGTCGACCTCCACAGCAGCTTCAAAACTTCCTGTCAAAGGATTACCCACAATCCTAAATTCTGCATCGACGGGATGTACGGACAACAATGGAGCCACAAGCAAAGGTTTGAACGTCGTAGTGGTCAAATATCTGCAGTTTTATTGACATTCCATCGACTAAAACGGACCAAAACCCTGGACTCTCCACTCATTCAGAATCAGCTGTTTATCACAGATCCGATCTTTTTCTCATACCTGCCCCCTGTAACAGTAAATTGTATTAAAACTGTTGAAGATCAGCTTCTGTGGGATTCAATTGGACACCATTGGATTGTTTTTTTACTCTGAATGCTAGATGCTGATTGGATAAATGGAACCTGGTCTTCCCTGAATGTCAGTGGGGGGGTGGCAGCTTGTCTTCTGCACGTTGATTGGTCAAAGTGTTCATCAGTTAGAAATCAGTGATAACCATTTCTCTTCCAACATCCTCCACAGCTCCAGTTGGATCCAGACCAGAGGAGCGGCCCAACAGAACAGTGTGTCCTGCCGGCAGCACTAGCACGGTGAAGCTGTCCAACTCCACCTCCACCTCCGGCTCTGCAGCCATCACGTGCAGCAGTATTTCCACTGAGATAGAGAGCAGCGCGAACACCGTGGCTGCCGCTACCGTTGCTCCAAAGCTGCATGTGATGAGAACCAGAGCGCTGTCCCTGCAGGCCAGGTCGTCCTCTACAGGTGAGATCTCTCCTCCTCACCTGTGTCTCTAGAAAACAACATCATTCTGAAACATCTCAAAGTCTGTGGTCAATATTGATGTCAGCGTGCCTTCTGTGTCACAGGTCTAAAGACCTCAGGAGCCCCCAATCAAAACTCCAGCAAGACAACAGCAGCCAATCCCACAACAGCAAAAACTGCTCTACCAGCCAATCACGGCTCACCGAAGCATACGTCACAGTATCAGCTGCAGAGAAGTGGATCTGCCAGGCTGAGTCGGCTGAACAGCACTGGTAAGTGTGTGTGTGTGTGTGTGTGTGTGTGTGCGCTGATGTTGGTGTGTTGTTACATTTTAACACTGCTCTGGTTGTTGTGGTTTATCCAATGGCACATTTCTGAGCCCGGAACCAGTGTTTGGATGGGATGATTGAGACTACAGTAATAATTTTATGTGAAATGTAAAACACTGGGGGCAATGTATCTGATAAAAAAGGACAAAAATAAGAAACATAGGGGTTTTTTTTATTTAAAAAAATGATTATTCTGATCAGATCTAAGGTCCATCAACTCGTCTCTACAGCAGGTCCAGATCTACTACTCTCCATGATAATAATGAATACTCTGATGCTAATTAAGTAAATGATTCAAATATGAGTCTTTGAATTAGACAGAAACTCATAGTTTCTCTGACAAATAGCAGATTGTGTGTGTATGTTCGTGTGTGTGTGAGAGAGAGCGAGAGAGTGTGAGTAGGACACAAACCTTCTTTTCATTGTACAAGATGCACCTGCCACTGACAGATGTGCCTCTGTTAGTGTGTGTGTGTGTGTGTGTGTGTGTGTGTGCACGCAGTGGCTCCTCCCACTCTCCCCTCCATTGTATTCTGACCTCCACATGAATCTGACTCTTTTATTCCAATAGAAAAAGAGAGTGGACGAGAGACTACAGTGAATAATGATGGAGGGAGTGAGCGAGGAGGGAGGATGTCGGAGTGTGGAGACATTATTCAAATCCGGCCCACATTCCCGGCTCCTCCTCCTCCCCCCTTACAGCATCGTTCCCTTCTCTGTGAATATATAAACACATTTCTACATCCAGTGGTGTATATGGCAATAAAATGGTGCGTGTGTGTGTGTGTGTGTGTGTGTATAAGTGTGTATAAGTGTGTATGTGTATGACAGACTGTCACTGTACACACACATACACAGACTCTGTGGGTCAGTAGGACTGGGTTTCCTGCGCATGTGCGTCTTCTTTTCTTTTCGTGTAACAGGGTGAATACTGATGATGCACAGCCTGGAGGATTTTCTCTTCTCCCTGCCTCACACACACACACACGCACGCACACACACACAGCCTCTCCGTCATCTCCCTCCTCTCTCTCTCCTCTTATTGTCAGACGATTTACCGTTGCTTGTACCCTGGTGCAGCACACCGCTGGTTTTGCCGCCATTTTCTTGCTTCACCTATTGGCTGTGCTGCAGAGCCCGGCTCTCCGCTCTCATTTTGACACGTTTCAGAGACGACGCGCTGTCTCTGAATTGACCAACAACACCTTATAGCTGTGGTGGCTTCAAGGGCTTGTTCTTTCTTTCTTTCTTTTTTTTTTTTTGAAGAACGTTTTGTCTTTTTTCTCCAACATCCACGTGGCGTTCATGGAAGTCTGTAATAGTAGATCTGTGTCACAGTCAAATCAAGGAAACGTGGTGGATCTCATCTGAACAAAGGGAAGGAAGCAACATGACGACCGTGGATTTGGACCAGGAGAAGAAAAACTGGGCCGGACTTTTATAACTCGGGCTGATTGGTTAGAGCTGAGCACAGTTTTTCAGAGAAGCCCCTTTCACACCAGAGACTTCAGCACTCCAGAGGACAACCAGAGACAATGCTATGGTCTCCCAGACTCTCACTGTCCAACTTCCACGTGAAGCTGACAGCCAAAGGTCTTTTCCGGAATCTTCAGCTGCTGTCGGGATGCAGGAAGAACACGGTGGTCTTCCACGCAGGTCTGGAAAACACTAGCGGTCCTCGCTTACACTGCATCCATTAGTGTTTTATCACATCCACCAACATCTGTGTGTGTGTATGAGAGAGAGAGAGAGAGAGAGAGAGAGAGAGAGAGACAGCTCGACTGAATCAAATCCTGTCACCATCTGTGACCCAGTTCTCATCTCAGCATCTGCCTTTATGAGTCAAAAAACTGTTTTTCTTTAATGTACTCATCCATCCATCCATCCATCCTTGTGGTGGAAACAGAGCACTGCTCATGCCTCCCTTAACCACAGCAAACTACAGTGGCTCTGTTCAACGCGGTTTTATTGATCACATTGTTGTGATGTGTATGTGAGTTCACAGTTGTGTGGAATATAGTATTTAATGATATTAAAAAAAAAACTTTATAACATTTTATTAATATTAAACTAAAGCTTGACTTAAATTATTTTTTATAATTTCTTAAATCTAAACTTCAGAAAAAAATCTTTTTATCAAAAATAAATAATATATTGGTGTTCTGTGCTTTAAAAAATAACGAACCTCTTTAAATATTGACAAATCACAATTTGACACAGTGAGTCTGTGTACAACTGTGATTAAGTGTTTTTATCCATTCGTTTTTCTGTAAAAATTCCATTTAAATGAATACACCACAACACCAACTCTTGAGAGAACTTTGATAATTAAAATTTAATTCTAATATAAATTAAAATGAATTACTTTCCTCAGTATGATTCAAATGTATATATGATTGTTATAACAATTTGAACTAGATTTATTCTCCATAGAAGACAGTGTGGAGAGGTGCGGGACACCTACTGTCTAGTTTAAATATGACATAGGTTGTACATATTACCACTGGTTTCTGCCAGTTGCTCTTTGTTTGATTTTGCAGTTTCAGAATACATGTTGACCAGCAGTGACATCATCATTAGACTCCTCCTACTTACATATGATCTGATCTCAGCTGCATGTGTCTCTCTGTGAACCCAACACACACTTCTCTGCTGTTGCTGCTGCTGCTGCTGCTTAGAAATGTAGGTTAGAGAAGTCTCTAGTCATCAAGTGTGTGTCCTCTCTCACAAACACACACACATACTTGTAGCAGCTTTAATCTGCTGACAGATGTGACTATTAAAGAACTGGTACATTCTCCACTGTAGATCTGCTCAACAGTGTCCTGTGGATTTAGAGATCCTCTGCTTTCTGTGGTCCACATCTGAAGCACTCTCTGACCTAGAAAACACCCCCTGATCCTCATGTTTTTTGTTTTGCATCCACTTCTCTGCCCTTCAGTGAAGAGTGGCCAGTGGTTGCAGTGGTTTGAAGGATCTGTGCATAAATGTCACTGTGGTTGCTGGAGTTCTTCTCTAATGAGGGGCAGGCTATCATTTCAGACTGACTCTCTCTATTTTGGGACACTGAGATGTTTTGCAGTTGAAATGGTTTGGTTTCTCTGATACAGTGTTCATCACCCAGAAATCTCTGCTGTGGTTTGGTTCTTTGATTGTCCTTCACTCACAGTCACTGACCTGCTCTGTACACCAGTGCCCATGGCAACAGTTGTGTGGAGGCGGACACTTGATGATGTGAGTGTGTGATAGTGAATCATCAGCGCTACATGTGTCAGTGCTGCATTCCTTCAGGAGATCAATCATTTCTCCTGCTGATGTCAGTCTTGTCATGGAGGATGTTCACTCTGTTAGTTGACTCACAGATTCATGTGTTGGGAGAAAAGCTTCTACCTGATTAGAGCTGTTCTTGGTATTGACTGATGGACCTGAAAAGAAACACAATCACAATGAGAGCAACTGTGTGGTTTTCCTCTTTCCAGAACTCTCAAATTTTTATCTTTAAATCTTTATTCCTGAATGAAATTAATGAAAACTTGGCCAAAGTTGAGGAAGAATGTATGTTTGTATTAATTTATGAACGTTCTGGTATAAATTTAAAATATATTTCTGGGCGGTGTCCTCACTGTGATGTTTAGTCTTAAAAAATGTGTCCTTTTTCTGCTTTCCTTGGGGGTTTTTAGTCATTGTAACTTGCAGACTTATTTTGCTTGTGTGCTGTATGGCTGCCACTAGGGGTCAGTGTCGGTGAGTCTGTCATTCAGGCTACATTCGTATCTGACAGAGAACCAGCCGTCACCGGAAGCGGTTGGTCTTCAATTAGATGCATTTACTAAAAATGCTTTGATTTTGATATCTAAGATTATTTACGTTTCCCTGTCAGCTTTAGAGCAGTATTTCCCACAACCTTTAAAGCTATGAAGTACTGCAGTACCTAACGTAAGTACTTAACGTATTTCATTATTACAATACATACTTTTAAACGACGACTTTTTGTATACACATGCACACATAACAATAGCAGACTCCCTGAGTGTTTCTAAATAGTCTCGACTCACTTTTTCATGTATCCCAGTATCTGTGGTATTTAGTTTCTGCTGATGTAACAAATTAATTTTCCCTCACATGAATAATACAGTACTTTTGTGCTTCTACTGCATTACGGGACACAATATGTGTTCGTGACTGTACTATTGACGTGTTGACTAATTAGACCTTTAGAGACACACTGCTGTCTATAGATGTCTTACATCTGTTAACAACAGGAGGTGGGGGGGGGGGGGGATGGACAGACTCTCTAATGGCTAGCTCTCTGCTAATGCACTTGCAAAGTACACCATCTCGCACACATACACATACACACTGGCCATCACGCTATCCCATAATGCATCTTTCCAGCCTAGCACAGTCAATAGGGCGTGTTCTTATGATCCAGATCTTAGTATTAACCTGGAGAGTGTGTGAGTGTGTGTGTGTTTACAGATCTGTTTCGTGTTGTCTATGAGTAGATGAAATGTGAGGACACCATGCTGAACGTTGTTCCCGCTGCTCACAAACTAAGAGGTCATCGTTCTCTTGCAGTGGATAAAAACAAACCGAGGGAGGCTCCGCCGAGACCCACCAACGCTAACAGCTCCAGCAGCAGCAGCTCACTGGTCCCAGCAACAGCAGGAGCAACAACAACAGCAGCAGCATCATCAGTATTAGCATCGGTGGGGGGAACCAGCGGGAATCAGCAGCGTCTAGGACTGAGCTGGTACAAATACTGGTTTTTATATTTTATGTATACATATATATGTTCTCAACTGGACTTGTTCTGTGAACTGATGCAGAACCTCCTCAAACCAAAGCTGGATGTTCCACACTAAATTAAGTTGATGGAACATCTTGTACTGTTTTCTACTGATAAATATTTGTCTTTTCTACTGAATCCTGACAGGTTTTGTTTTGATTTTTCTTCAGGTTCCAGATGTGGTCAATCCCAATCCTCCAGTAACTCCAGTTCTGGTAAATGAAGTCAGCAGTACTGGCTCAGCCACCGCCGGAGCCTCAGGACTGGGCTTGAAACCAAGAACGGGGACACGGTCTTGCCCTAAATCTGGATCCCGCCTTCACAATGTTTCCAAAGCTAGTGCCCAGAGAGCCTCGGGGGTGGACGGCACCGTGGTCACTGCTAAACAGAACCAGAACCGAGAGCAAGCGGAGAAGAAGAACCAGGCCATCGGTCAGCTGAGGAGGCTGCTGGTTCAGGGGAACAGGAAGGTGGAAGCTCTGGCTACAGTCATCCAACATCTCTTCTCTGAAGTAAGTCTATTTTGACCTGTGAAACCAGGAGTTACTGTGTGTGTGTCAGTGATGTTCCTCCGATCAGTGAGTCTCTGCAGTGACTGACTCTCTACAGTGAATGTTGTTTACCTGTGAGAGTTTCACTCTGCCTGTTTGCAGTGACTCTGTGCAGTGATTGTAACCAATACTCAGACTGTATTTACATTAGGGTCTCGACTGGGACTGTTCCTATCACTTTAGTGGTGACAGGGTGTACTGACCCCTGTCTCTGCAGTGACTCAGTAGTGACTGGAATAGCTCTCAAGAGAGACGATGGCTTCAAATAAGATCACTTTATCTGCAAACACCTCCCCCCTCTGGCTGAAGAGAGCACAGCAGCTCCAGCGTTTTATAAAGACATCACTCAGCGGTTGTCAGTGATTAGGCAGCGAATTGCTATTAATGGCTGCAGTGTCTGAGATGTTTGCAGAGGGAGACAGCAGTAAAAGTTGTTTTTAGTGATAGCAGGGAGAGGCTACTTAAACCACACATACAGTGGCTTCTATTTATACAGTGGCTGGGACTTGTAACATATTCATTCCCATGCAGAGCAATGCATTAAAATAACATACATTTATTCTCACCGTTACTTAATTTCTGCCACAATGGCAACACTGGTCCGTAGGGGGAGTGTATTCATCAAGTTGAAAATGATTTAGGTCAAGTTAGTGCTCAAAAACAATTTGTGAATGGTGATAAGAGAAACGAGACCAGATTGTTCTGCTTGTAGGGCAGAAGGGATTTTTTTTAGAAGAGAAGTTGTTCCTTAGGATTTTGGACTGTTGATCAGACATACTGTACAACAAAGTAGCACTGCATAGATCCAGAGGGAATCCATGTACCACCAGTGGCACTTGTACCATAGTTTGACAACCAATGCTCTGCAGAACCGGATCTATGGTAACACGGGGTTAAAGATAACAGGTCTTGTCTCAAACATTCTACTGCAGCAGATTGACTGGGACGAGGACCAGGATATGGTCAGTCAATATTTGCTGTCAGCCTAGCAGCCAGTCAGTTATATTTGCAGAATCCAGAAGCATGTGGCATGAACGCTTAATGCCCAAAAACACACATCAGCCAGGGCCTGCTACTGTGACCCCTGTGACCTCTGACTGTTCACTCCCCCCATCGTCAGATACAGAGACAGTGAACAGCGACCGTGATTTAAAGTACCAGAAGAGTGTAGGTGTATAGAGTGATGTGTTATTAACATACAGTACATTTCAGCTCTTGTGTATGTGTGTGATATCCAGTTTAACAACATGTTTTCAACATAATTATATTTATAGGGATGCACTTAACCTCGGAGTCCTGTTCTGTTCTAAACTGTGTCTGAACCTTTTCAGCAAGAAATAATGAAAACATTTTGTCTGGATACTGTTTGTTTGCTGGATATAAGAAAACAATAGCATTTAAGACCCTTAACATGCGCGTTAGCGGTGTGCTAGCAGGTACTGTCTGATTTATGAATAGGTCATCACCTTCAGCCTCTCTTCTTCTCTGGACCTTATCAGCTGATAAGAGAGTCTGAGAGAGTTCTGACAGTTGTGTTTCTATGGAGATGTTTGAGTCTTGTCACAGTGTGTCTTTTGCTCATTTCTCTCTAATTCTGGCATTATTGATAAATGGAACAGACTGATAGAAAGACGAGGTGGAGGAGGTGATGGGGAGAGGCCAGGGGGAGTAGAGGAGTGGCAGGGGTGGAGGAATGTAGGAGCAGCTGCACATCCAACCCTGGAGCTCTGTGGTGTGTGTGTGTGTGTGTGTGTGTGTGTGTGTGTGTGTGTGTGTTCGACTACAGCATAAATTCCTCTGTTATCTAATCTACTACCACACTTAGAAGTGACTGCAGAGCATCAACAGTAAACAGGAGACGGAGCTGCTGCTGCTGCCTGAGGGTGGGCTGTGGGCTGTGGCTGTGGTTGTGGGCTGTGGGCTGACTGGGGAGGTGAGGGTGGAGTCGTTTGTGTCTGCTGATTTTCAGTGAAAGGAGTTCCACTGCATCTGCAGTTTCTGTTTGGGTGGAGTTTGAAATATGAATAATCATGTACTGATTTTTTTCAGAAAAATAACACAAAGACTCTAAGGTTCTGCAGACAGCTATTTCATCACAGTATTTTTTGTTAAAATTAATATAATTATTTTGATAAATAGTTGCTGACTGGCTCTGAATACACAGGCGAAGCATGTGTCACAGTAACAACAACGTGCAACATGAGAAACTTCAGTAAATCTGTGAAGGTGAATTTCTTTTCAGCTTTTCTGCTATTTTATGTTTGTCAACATTTAGCATGTAGCTCCCCTTAGAAACAAACACCATTAAGCACAGTTAGCACAGTAGCCTGTCATTGTCTAATTAGCATCTGGCATGTTTGCTGCTTTAGCAGCGCAGTAGCATTTGGAAAATGAGCTACATGTTAGCAGTGAGTGGCGCTTTGGCCCAGAGGCAATGTCTCTGTCATTGGTGTGGAACCCCAGGGTTCACCTCCTGGGCAAGTTCAAGTCCCGATTAGGGCGGTTGGTACCTTCCAGTGGACTCACCACCCGCAGGAAGGTTTGGTACGGTGCAATGTGATTTGGGTGGCGACTGTTGCCCCCGCGACCCGGTAACGGATAAGCGGATGAAAATGGATGGATGGATGGATGGATGTTAGTAGTGTGTTCGTTTGTGGGGTGTTAGTGGTATGTTAGCGGCGGCTAGCACAGAGCATGTTAGTAACCTGCGGATTTGAAATGATGTTGTGGTTGGTTTGGTGGAGTGTCGTGCTGCTACAGCTTCAGGCAGCATGCAGAGAGTGAGCTGCAGAGATGGAGATTATGGCTGCTATCGCTCTGGGAGCTTTCTAACTCAGCACAGAGATGGATGTTGAACACAGGGAGGTGTATCTCCATCGCCGATGGGACTGAAGACAGACATGAGGTAAATGCGGTTGCTCCAGTTCTGGATGATAACGTGTGTAGAACAGGAGGAGGACCAGATGAAAGGTGGAGCAGAAATAACTCACATTCCTCCATCATACGGTGAGCAGACCGGAGGAGGGCAAGGAGGCGGACAACGGGGAGGGGGAGGAGGAATTGAGTTCTGTGTGGTGGAAAGAAAAGGAGGAGGGGAGAAGGTGTGAGGGAAGGGAGGTGGTGATACTAGGAGGGGAGTTAAGGAGGGAGAGAGTGAGTCTGGACTGTTCAACAGTCAGTTAGAGAGAAGACGTGGAGAAGGAGAGAAGAGGAATTATTTATCTATGTGTGTGTGTGTGGTGTGTATGAGGGTTTATAAGTGTATGTGAGTGTGTGTGAGAGTTCCAGTCATGGGAGCTACAGTCAGCAAAGTCCATTCAAAGCGCAGGAAAGCTGTCGTTCATCGTCGAAAGAAGAAGAGAAAGGTGTGTGAGTGCTGCTTCTGCGGCTGTTGGTGTTTGTTGTTCAGTGCAGAAATGTAACCGGGTGACTTTCCTGTGATCATCTTTATGGCTCTTTATCTTTGCCCTCAGTGTTTCTGTTTATTTGCTGCGTAACCGAGTGTTCAGACAACAGATGGACTTTATGACTTTGTGTGTGTGTGGTTGGGGGGTCGGGGGAGGGGGGGGTGAAGAGAAAGAGAGGAAAGTGAGAGTGTGTGAGGTCAGCAGCACAAGGACTTGTTCACAGTTTTAAATACCATTACACCTGTCAATAAGCTGCTGTATGTTCTGTGTGGGTTTGTGTGTGCGTGTGCATGAATTCCCAGTTCAGGCAGTAACAGAACAAACGTAACTGCTGAAACTGACATCAGTTCAACTTGTTTCCTAGCCTGAAAATCCTAAATGTTAATCAAAAATATGTGGTTTTGTTTGTTTGTTTTTTTTTATTAAAAAGAATGTTAAAGTGTTTTTAAAAAATTAATTTAAAAAAAAAAAAAGAGGTTTGTTCTTTCTAACAGACCTTTGTCTGTTCTGTTGCGTCTGTGCAGCGTGAAGAGTCGCTGAAGCAGAGGAAGGAGCTGTCTGTGGAGCTGCAGAAACTACAGGAGCAACTGGGTAAGAGAGAGAGAGTCCTCCTCCCACACTGTCACCCTTTATCTCTGCAATCATTCACATTCGTGTCACATTGAAAAAAAGAAACGTTCAGGCATAAGGTTTGAGTCAGGTTTAAAAGCACAAAACACATTTGACCTCATTGGATTTTAGAATTTTGAAAAGCAGACTCAGGATGAGCGGCTGCCTGCTTCAGACAAGGGAGATAAACAACACTACAATCTAAGTACAGTCAGACATACTGTTAACACACACAGGACAGTTATATATAAACGAGTTTATCAGCAGGGTTGGATTTAGGATCGCATCGATGCTGATGTAGATCGACAGCTGTGGTGACATCTGCAGCAGGTCACTTATCAGGTCAGATAAAATAGACAAATGTGTGATGAATAATAAAGACAAATATTCCAAAGTTATTTAATTATTATAGTTATCATTACTCTAATGAGGTGGTTTGTTCTTCAGGAGTTAAGGAACAGTCTGCAGTTTTGTTCATTCATTCTAATTTTATTTTCAGCCAATGGTGATCATTTACAGTAGCTCCTCTTGTCTGGCCGATAGGTGGTGCTAAGTACACATTCATAGCTTCGTACCATGATTCATATAGTGGCCGCTGGATCAGAACTTATGAAGTAAATTTTATTAACACACTTATTAAGTGAATGTTTGATCTGCAGGACATCTGGGTCACTGTCAACAGAAAGAAAAAACAAAGAAATTACAGGGATGTTTACAGGAATGCTTTCTGTCAGACTTTAATAGAAGGGAACATTTAGTTTTTAGGAAAGTCCTGGCGAATCTTGGAAAATCAATGATACATACACCTGCTACACACACACACACACACACACTGTTAAAGATAAAGAACAGGAGTGTGTCTGAGCTGCGGCTCAGCTGTCGTGCCTTTTGTGTCTCCATCACCATGGCGACAGAGGAACAAACTCTCTTCATTCACGGAGAAACAACAACTGTTTCCTCTGCAGCCAGTTGTTAGCACACACAGCTCTACCAATCCCAGCAGTGCTCGGCTAATCTTTAGCAAACTCATATGTACTTCTAATTGTTGATATGACTGAACATGGTTGACTTTGATTTACATTTTGTTCAACATGAAGTCATTGTAACCTAGCTTGTGTTTTGCTAACTCTTAGCCGGCATTGATCTAATTTAAAGCAGTCCAACAGCTTTGATGGTCTGACATGTAACAGACGAACACTTTTAAAATAAACTTGACATGTGGCGTGCCTTTGTGTGTGTGGGTGGGGGGTGGGGGGTGTGCTGCTGGAGCCTATAACTGGACATTTTCCACTCAGGCAGAAATAAACTGTTTTGCAGAGGCACAAAAAGCTGAAGAGAACGTAGAGCACATTTTAGGTTCAGATTTTCCAACCTCCACCTGATTGTTGATCCTGTTCTTTAAAGAACAGACACTGATCGTGTCCACAAAATAACATCCTTCAGGCGACTGGCTGCTCCGTGCTTTCACTGACGAAAACAAGCTCTTAAAAACTAAATGACGTGAATCGTCGGTCGGAGTCGGAGCGAAGCGTGTGTTTGCCTGTGAGGGCTGAGATGAGTCATGAGAGGAATGAAGGCTGAGTGGGTCTGAGCTGAGCTGCAGATGTTTCTGAGGCTTTGGTCCAAGTCTGTCGTAAGAGCAATTCAACTGGAATGTGGCCGTGAATGTGGACCGCTGAGCAACACACTCACTCGTGCACACACTCTCTCGCAGTTTTACCTGTTGAGACACTGCTGCTCCTGACACGCAAATGTGAAAGTTCCTCACCATGGAAACAACGGAACGTTTTTTAAACTCTGTTCTGCAGCGTCTAACTACAGAACTGATAAAATGTCATAATATAGAATAGAATAGAATAAAATAGAATAGTCAGTCTTATGTCAGTGTTCACCCCCTGTACAGTGTAGTCTAGTGTACCGTGCTCTCAGTGCAGATGACAAATTTGAAAAGTGAGGCAAAAACAAAAGACTACTACTTACTGTACAGTATCTGTAGTACTTAATCACAGATTAAGTCAACACCGGAATCACGTGATATTGTTGCATTTCTGACCACCAGTTGTTAGAATTGTAGCCAAGACAAAATCACAGCGTTATTTCAGGGCACATTTGTGTGTGTGTGTGTGTGTGTTATTTAGATTCAAGCGCAGGAATCTTAATTCATCACCACAGAACAGTTGAGAAGGAAAAGAGAAGCACATTGAGGAAAACAAATATAATATAAATATTATATAAATATAATAAAAATGTATGTTGTTAGTCTGTATTAAAAACTATTAAAATGCTTCATATGAGTAACTGAAATATTGAACTTGAGAAATTTGAATGATTGGAAGTGTTCCATTAGAAAGCTGAACTGACGGTCCAGATGAATTTACCTCTGACATCAGTGTAACCTCCGCTAATTTTCTCTGCTTCCACTTCCTCCTTCCAGTGGCGTCAAAGCAGAGCTGCGAGCATCTGCAGAAGGAGAGGGAGGAGGCGCGTGTCAACCTAGAGGAGTCTTTGAGAAGGCAAGAGGAGGAGCACAGGGAGGCGCTGGTGCAGCTGGAGGACAGGTGTGTGTTCACCTCCTGACACGATGCCAGGAGAGTAAGTCAGGACGGGATTTCTGCTGCTGTTGTTGTCTAAGTGTGTGTGTGTGTGTGTGTGTGTGTGTGTGTGTGTGTGTGTGTTAGACTGAAGAGTTTCTACCAAACAGAGTGGGACAAGGTTCACCAGACGTACCAGGAGGAGGCTGACAAATGTCGCCTGTTGATGGAACAGCAGGTTTGAAGCACACACACACACACACACGCAGTGTCACTCAGAGAGACTTCCACTTTCACTGATGTCTGCGTTGATCATCTACAGGTAGAGGAGTTGAGGAAT